TTGCCCTTTTTAACCCAAGGGGGGGGGATTTCCCCCCGTTGGGGGGGGGGGGTTTTTTGGCCCCGGCCCAACTTTTTTTCTTCGCCCCCCTTTGGGTTTCCCCCCAAAAAATTAACGGGGGAAAAAAAAAAAAACGGTTACCCGGGTTGCGGGTTTCAGAAAGGAAATTGCCTTTTTTAACACCCAAGCGCAAAAAACCCAACCCCGGATGACAAACCCGGGGGGGGGGGGCTTGTTTTACAAGGTCGTTGCCAAGCGACGAAAACCCAACCCCGATGGCAAACCCCGGGGCCAGGGGGGGGGGGGGGGGAACAGTGTACAAGTTTGTCGTTTGTTCTCGCTGTCGCTATCGTTAACCTCTTTCCCTACAAGCCCTAGCATGCCGTCATTGAAAATTACATCACCGCACGAAGCGAACTAGGAAGCAGTGCCAATAATGGTGGTACAAGGAGGGAATCAACCATTGTAGATGCGGAATGTTCCCCCGCGAAAGGATGCAACAACTTGGAACAACAAACACACACACATACGGAAACGTGCGACCACAACACCCCTCCGCCTAAAAAAACAAATTGTCCACGACACACGGACCTTGAAAAATCGAAAACCCCCCTGAGAATTATCTTTAAGTGTGGGGTTTCATGCTACATTAGCGGTCCCTGTTTAGTGCGGGCACGTGCCCACAGACTGCCGTACCGGACACCGGCGCTATTCGAGAAACATAACGACATGGTTCTGCGCCTGCCGAGCACACCGGCACAAAACAGGCAGCTCTGCTGTACTACCGTATACGACACAAGACAGCGCATCCCCTGGAGCGCTTTTCAAAGCTCGACGGCTTCAACGCCGCCGTTTTCGGCCTCTCGGGCATTTTTTCCGAATGGTAACAACAGCCGTACCTGCTATCACCAGCACCTTCTATCACGTCAACAACAACAATGAAAACAACAACAACAACATCGCTACCGCCACCACCACCGCCAACAACCGCTTCACTGTGTGTCCCATGTTTTTTTTTTTGTTTTTTTCCTCCTCTCTCTCTCGGCATTTCCTCCCCCAAGGGCAACAACAGTCACATTTGCGAGGACGGAGAGCCGTGCCAGTGTAGCAACGACGACTGGGACTGCTACCGCCCGGCGCAGCAGAATGTGAGGCTCGACCCAACAGTTTGTAACAAATGGGAGCATTTTTTTTTTGTATTGTGTATTGTATTGAAATTATTGCATTGTATTGTAATGTCTTGCGTTGTGGTTCGTTTTTGTTTTGTATTAAGCAGCGTTTTTTTGTTTCGTGTCTTGGGTGTTTGTCATAATTTTTGTTCATTTTGGTGAACATCATGTATAGAGTTGTTCCATGTATGAGTGACTACTCTAGCAGACCTTTCCCGCTGTGTCTGTTGTCATGGCATTCGTTCTGTTTTTCGCTTTTCCGTTGTGGTCGGGCGACCCCGGGATCATGGACATGGTGCAGCTGCTGCTGTCCGAGACACACACCTCGGCACACTGACCTTACTTGCTTCACGCGTTCCGTGACGTCGTGGTTTGCAAGATCGCGGATTAAGATAGATTCCCTCCACTCTCCGAGGCGGGTTCATTCCACTCAACTGTTGTCGAAGTCACTCTCGTTCGTTGGGACCGCCTTTACGAGATTGTAAAGTCTTACGAGGAACTAGACGAGGGAGGGGGTACCCAGACCCTATCCCTACCCCTAACCCAACTTCCCCGATTGTACACTACGCTTTGTCCAACATGTTTACTGCATCGAAAAATCGTGCGAAGGCCACTGTATCGTTGGGTAAGTCGGCTTGTGACCACGGGAGGAAGGCGTTTTCCCGTCGGTTGGACCAGTACCGTACAGAACAAGGTACTTTGTAAGCGGAGACCGGGACGCTTTTTAGTATGAAGACAGCAGCAGCAGCAGCAGCAACAACAACAACAGCAACAGCAACAACAACAACAACAACAACAACAACAACAACAACAACAACAATCGCCTATCCCCGCGCGTTCCTAAACCCGCGTCTATATATATATGTTCGGACCACTCCCACGTCTTGCGTGATGCTGGTTTATTTATGTAGATTCTGAGCCACGTTTCGAACGCCCCCGGTTGATCTGTTTCCTTGTCTACGGCAGCACTGTGTGTCCCTTTTCGCAACCACGGATTGTCTTGTGAGATAGCTCCTGAGCCAGCTTTCGAAGCCCCCCGGCTGATCTGTTTTGTTGTCGCACCGTGCGCACCACGTTGTCCCTTTTCGCGACGATGAAATAGCTCCTGAGCCAGGTTTCGAAGGCCCCCGGCTGCTCGGTGATTCTCACGGGCGACTACCACTACGGGGACATCAAGGCCTTGATCCCCGGGGGGGAAACGCCGTACTGGGAGTGGTACTCCAGCGAGGGCAACGACTTCCCGGTCTACCAGGTGTTGTTGTTGTTGTTGTTGTTGTTGTTGTTGTCGTGGCTATTGGCAAAGGCGGTGGCGATGTTGTTGGTTGTTGTTGTTCATCGTGGTTGTTGATGTGTTGCTGTTGTTGTCGTTGTTGTTGTTTTCGTCGTTGTTGCTGTTGTTCGTTGTTGTCCGAAGCCAAATGCAAAAGCTGCACGTATTTCCTTGTCGGGAAGAGAACAAAACGCCTTTAAGCGAAACGGCGAGGGTTGTGCTCGCATTGTTTGCGCCGATGAAAGGTTATTCAGAGTTCCAGCATGTACACGACAGCTACAACAGCTAGGCTGACGGGGAAGAATGCCAACCCGGAGGAAACAATAGTCTGTACCCAAGATGTTTGCGAGGCAAAAGAGGAGACTTGCACGCTTGGTGGTGATAGTGCAAAATTGTGAATGCCAACCCGGAGGAAAGAGTTCACTGATAAGGTGAAAAGAGAGAGAGGATCACTTGCAATGCTCCATTTTGTTTTGTTGTTTCATGCAAGACCGTCAACACAAATGTGTATGCGCTCTACAAAGACGTGCTCAGGGCTCATCGGCGACGTCCTGGACATTCTACGAAAAAGCAGGTGATGGCATCGGGCATGACAACTTCGACAGCGGAGAGGAATCGGTCCTGCGACACGTTTTACCTAGATGAAGTTGGTCTCCGGACTCACCCAGAGTGCGACCTGGTGCAGGACCCCAACTTCGGTCTTTTGCAGGTGAGGCAAAGGCTGTTGTTTTGTTGCCATTGTTGCTGTTGTCGTCGTTATCGTCTCCAAACGCGCGGTTCGTTTCCCCCCGTATTTTTGAGCAGTCCGCCGTGGGTGGGGTATTTCAGGCGGCGGACGGTCTTCGATATCTTCTCGGCGTGTCGGCATGTGTGATTGTTCGTCGCTAGGCCGAGGACCAATCTTTTTGAGCATAGAAACTATGACGGGTACATATGGCCCAGAAGAGTATATCCAGAGCGTAGGACCCAGAAGTGGACATAAACCGAACATGAAGACAGCATGAAAGCACGCTTCCATGACCGAAACAATAAGCTCACCGGAACAAAACCTGAGCTTGAAGGCAACATACCAGTTACTTGTTTTCCCGAGCGGAATTGCGTAAATGGCCGAAAAGAGAAAACGTAAGCTTGCCGACTTTTTTTTTTTTTTGTGTCCCTCCCTTCGGAGCAGGTGGGGTTCGAGGACGGCACGGAGGGATTCTCCAGCCTGGAAATGCAGATCAGGGACTGGAACGGGACCGTGAGGGTATCCGCATCGCTTTCGCCAGGTCTGTGTGCAGGGTTTAGACGCCGATCTCCACATACAACATTTGACAAATGCGTGTAGCTTGCATGGAACTTTACTTCTGTCAAATCTTAACCAGTTCCTCGGAAGTTGTTGGAATTTGACTTCCGTTAGTGTTCGGTAGGGTATGTACCACAACGAAACGTTTCGGTCTCTCTTCTCAAAGGGTTGACGATCGTGGTCCGCGTCATTTTCTTGTGTCCGTGGCACCTTCTACGTTAGTTGTGCTGGCCCTTTGGTCCACTTTTTCGAAGACAAATCCGCAAAAATATTTCTCGGTGTGATAAGCTTGTAGCGGTAGCGCGTCGGGCTCAGCCGCTTCGGAAATCCGACCGCAGGTGCTTTGCTGAGAAGCAAGAAAAGCCTTTACATGCGAGAGGCGGAACAACGCTGATCGCTCTCGGAACGATGAGAATAGGATGTCGTTAAGTTCGTTATTTCTGGCTGACTCCAAGGCCAGGTTTTGATGGTAGAAGACGAAAGTGAGAGAACGGCGCGCTGGCCAGCTCTCCATCAATATCTTCTACTGTTTCAGACCCCGAATAACGAACCGCCTATGTTAGGGTTCCCTCGAGAACTTTTCTGACCTTACGTTGACAACCCCGTACGGGAACGTGTCACACAGCGTGTGGTCTCTGCTCCACAAAACTGCTCCGTGGCTGCTAGCTACTGCTGATTTGCTGGTACATGAGCCCACTCCATAGGGACCACTTGTATTGAGGGCGAATTTGTTGCACGGGGGGTGTTTTTCAGAGAGAAAGACGACAACGCCACTCAGACTCTTCGAAGCAGCTCTGTGTGCCATTTTTCCTCCGGTGGTGACGTTTTTCTTTTAATGTTCTGGGCAGACATGTGCAACCCCAGGCAAACGACGACGACCTGAGCACAAACGCGATGGCCTTCATTGCCATCGTTATCGTCAACTTCGCTGCAGCCTTCGGGGGGGGATGGGAAAAAAAAGTGGAGCCGAAAAATGGGGGTTTTCTTGACAAAACACCCAGCCTGGCGGTCCTTTCTGGGAGCCGCAGGACTGTAGTTGGACGTCACCCTGTCAACAAGAAATAGTAGGCTTGGCCGACAACGTCTCTTGTAACCAGAAAACGTACAACAGTAGATGGATGGACGCCACCTGTCAAGAAGAAATTGGCTTGGGGCGACAACCTCTCTTGAAACCGCAGAAATGTACAACAGTAGATGGATGGGCGTCGTCGGCCGAGAAAGGGGCTTGGGGAGAAGGTGTGGTTGCAAAAGATTTATATTTGTTCGTGCTTGTTGCGGCGTGAGTGTAGTAATAATGTGCTTTGCTTTGCCGTCAGTGTTGACTGTTTGTCCTCGCCATCGTAGTAATCTGTTCCGTCACGCGGCGTGGCGGCGAAACACGCTTTAATTATTCCGTTCTTTTTTTTTGTTCTTCCGATAACGTTGGGCCTTTCAATTTTCAAACCTGCTGTTTTTGCTGGAGCGGAGGTGTCCTATCCCCATGTATGTACTTGGCAATGCGCGGCGTTAGGGTGATGCAATCATCATCTCGTTTCTGGAATGCGCCTCGGGGACGATTTTCATGCCGATGACGGCTGGGGCGTGTAGTCCTGTCTTGGGGAAGAGCGGAAGCTCTCCTCTGAGCTTTTACCCGATGATGCGGCCTGTTCTAAATAGGGAAAACCAACACGTGTATGATGTGCTTTTGGTAATTGGTATCGCAGCTTGCCTCGGGCAACGGTGCTGGTTCTCCAAGAGGTTTTCGTTTATATATCGGTGGTAGTGTAGAGAGCTATGAAGAGATGAAGATTTATTTGCACAAAAAGTAGTGTGATGAATCTTGTTGCATCCTTGGGACGACGGTCAGGGCAAGAAAAACGGGTTTAAGTATATACATAGTTTGGATGGACAACCCCTAATACTCAGTCTGATGTAGAGGGAATAGACGAGGATAAGAATGTCGGTGCTGCGTGCAAAACTACCCGAATTGGGTTGTTACGGAATTGGATAACAACAGATGTGATAACCCGCATGCCTTGGACTGAGGGAGCGCGTGTTTTCCATGTCTTCGCACGTATCCGCAAGACTGTCCACACACCTCACCCACAAAACACACCCACACGTAGTTTGGGCTTGCTTGCCGTGAGGTGGATACCATGGTGGTGCACGGTGGCATGAAAAATCGCCCCGGATCGCGGATGAACGCGGATGAACATTTACCCACGTCGTCGTCGATCATGGATCGTGGATCGTGCCGAACTTCGTTCGTGCTGTCGACATAGACTACAGACTACTGCTTGGGACCGTTGCAAGGATCACGGATGAACGCGGATGAACATTTACCCGTCGTCGTCGGATCATGCCGAACTTCGTTCATGCTGTCGACATAGACTACAGACTACTGCTTCGGACCGTTACAACCATGGACATGTCTGCAATGCACACCCGCTGGCCAATTGGCATGAACACGTGTCCTGCGGCGAGGTGGATATCGGATACGGTATTGTCACGGTTCCGTTTTTGGTGGTGTGGTGTGGTGGTGTGTGGTGTGGTGGGGTTTGATACCCTGGGTGTTTGTTGTTTGAGTTTGGGGCAAGAATGAGAGACAGAAGTTGTGCCAGCCAAACAATTCCAGGGTCGTCTGCTGTTGTCCATGGTGCTCGCCTTTGTTTCTGTACCCTATCGCCCAAAACGCACCAATTTGTTCTGCGCCAACACGACGAAGAACCTGGCCAGCATGCTGTGCGGGACCATCGATTGAGTTTGAATGCTGTGCTAACGGTCGTGCCGTGCGCCAATGAATGGTGTGTTCGATCTTACAACGTACAACGGCGTGCAACAATCACCCAGCCAGGCTGTAGTGGTGTGCCCGAGGATCAGCGTTGCCAAACGGTCCTGTTGTGCGATACATGCCTTGATATGCTAACATACGCATGTCCGCCGCTGGTCTGCCCTAGAATGAAACGTTTACCCGTCGGATCTATCCGTGGATCCGTCCACCCCTCCCTCCACTTCTTATGTTGTTGCTGAGGGCATGATGTTTGAGACCGGCACCACACTGGCATGTCTTCAGAGCACACTCGTTGGCAAACTGGCCACACACCACACCCACACCACACACACCCACACACGTACACGTAAATAGCTTGGGCTTGCTTGCCGTGACTTGGATACCATGGCGGTGCACGGTGGAATGAAAATTCGCCCCGGATCGCGGATGAACGCGGATGAACATTTTCCCGTCGCCGTCGGATCATTCATGCGGAACTTCGTTCATCCACTACAGACTTCTGCTTGGGACCGTTTGCTTGGGACCGTTACAAGCACAGCCATGTCTTCAATGCACACCCGCTGGCCAATTGGCATGAACACGTATCCTGCGGCGAGGTGGATATAGGATAATGGTAATGTCACGGTTCCGGTGTTAATGCAAGACTGTTCGGGAATATGTAGAGATACACAAGCACGCCTGCACAAATCGCTCCTTCCATCCCGCTATGCGCGCGCCCATGCACAAGCACACATATTGTTTCCCCCGAAACGCGGCGAATAGTCTATCGCGGGGCACACGACGTGTCGAGATCAGGATAAACTACTGTACGAGATCAGAAACCTGAGTACACACACAGAAAGACTACCCGTTGCTGCCTGATATTCAAGCAGCCACGAGCTGGCTGACAGCACCGCCGATCGCCGACCTGCTCTCTGTCTTGCTGTCTCGGCGTCTCCTGTCTATATCGTCCAGTCAATCTCTCCAGCCGGTTGCCTCTGGCACCAAACCTCGCTAGCGTCGTGGCGTGGCTGCGGCTGTACCCCATTTCCTACATAAATACCACGGCTTGTTACGTTTTTCTATCTAGAAAAAAACCGAGTGCAACTGCCGATTGACAGTGCAACGGCTACTGACCGACCGTAGCTGCCGGTGGAATAAGGAACAATTGTGCGGCCACCACACCGGGGGGGGCGCGGAAACAATGACCCGAGAAGCGAGCGAAGTTTCAACCGACGGTAGCTCCCGGCGGAACGAGGAAACATTGCGCGGCCACCAAGGTGGGGGACGAGGAAACGAAGGCCCAAGAAGCCCTCCAGCTTTCGAACGAGAACCAGAGGACGAGCGCGCGATTGAAGGCGTGCAGTCTATCTGTAGACTATTAATTTAGTTTTTTTCCTGGTGACTACAGTAAAAGACAAAAGCTCCTCCTCGACGGCCTCGTCGTGGAGCGCGGGAACGCCAGGCCCCGAGAAAGTCGTTCTCTGCAATGACTGGCTGCGCGTCTGATGGGCACATGGCTCTCCGGCACCTGGGTACAACTTAGTTGACGTTGGCTATTTTGGCCGACTCGGTGTGGCGGAGACTATATTGTTACAGACAACCAAACTCCAGCCGGTTTTAGCGTAGGAGTAGCATCGGCAATTCCTTTTCCAGAAATTGTGCCGATGTATGTA